ATTAAAGACAAAAACTTCTCATTGCCCATCTTATCCCAAATGATCTACATCAGTGGCATAGAAATGAGGGCCACTAAGCTGTATATAAGTATTCCTAATGGCCACATATTGACTTAGAAAACCACATGTTACCATTATCTTTGTACAATACAATGCAATACCCCCCACAAATGTTAATTTTTTCAATTTTTGTTAAATATTTCCCAATTATATTTTAATTTGGTTCACTGGATTTCACATCGCTATAAATTACTGCCTTCTTTCTCATTCCCTTTCATTCTAAGCTTCTTTTAAAAGTTGGCTGCAGGGGCAGTTAAATGACACAGTAGATAGAGCACTGGCCCTGGAGTTGGGAGGACTTGAGTTCAAATCCAGCCTCACACACTTATACTAGCTGTGTGACTCTGGGTGAATCACTTAACCCTGATTGCCTCAACAACAACAAAAACATTGTTTGCACCTGATGCTTCTATTGCCTCTGCCACCCCTTGTAGATAGAAATGCACTCCTGCCCCTCCTGGTTGGCTTTTGTCCGTGTCATCCCCATGTTTGCCACCCTTCTTTAATTTCTCCTAATATCACAAGCATGCCAATGGAGAAATCTGACTGTCCATTCATCACCCCTAACCCTTCCCATAAAACCAACTGATTTTCTCTTCCTATCATATAATTATGAAGCAGGTAAGTAGCATAGTGGATAATGCAGACTTAAAAGTCAGAAAGACCTATATCGGAATCTTGCCTCAGACACTAGCTGTGCACCCTGGGCAACTCACTTCGCTTCTCTGAGCCACAGTCTTCTCATCTATAAAATGGAGATAATAACAGCCCCTATCTCAGAGGGTTATTGTTAGGGTCAAATCAGGGAATATTTGGGAAAAGTTTTATAAACCATAAAGTGCTTAAAAATGACATATAATTATTACATAAGTCCTTGATATCTTTTACTTCTATCCTTCAGAGTTCTTTATTGATAATATGTTATAGCCTATTCACCCACACCATCTACCATATGCCTTTCCATTGCCTTCTGTGTGATAATAATATTAATTTTTCAGAGACTGTCGTATTCCATGTCTTGCCCCCATATTACAACATTGGTAGAAAGCTAGTGTTTAAAAAGTTGGCCTCTGTTTTCATGGGGAGTTTGCCCTAGATTGCTAAGCCCTATTAAATTCTAAAATATCACTCCTTTTTGCTAGTTATATCTCTTTCCATTTTCACCACCATCCCTAAGAGACATCCTCATTAACACCCAATTGGATTGTTGCAACAGCTTCCTAACCTGTCTTCCTGCCTCCACTCTCTTCTCTCTTCCAACCTATCTTTTGCATCATAGATCTCTAGATGGAAGTGACCTTAGAGTATAAGTGTCAAACCAAGAAATAAGGACTGCAAAACTCCCCAGTGTGGCCCAAACCAGATTAAAATGTAATTAGGAAATGTTTAATGAAACAAACAAAAATATAATACAGCATAGATGATGTTAATTTGTAGTTTTCTAAGTCAATATACAGCCTGCAAGGATTCGCTTCTATTTGAGTTTGACATCACTGCTTTAGAGAAGGTTTCCTCCAACCCCCTCATTTTATAGATTAGGAAACTGAGACTCACATAGGTAAAGAAAATTGCTCACTTACAGGTAACACGTGGAAGAGAGGGAATTTGAACTCAGGTCTTTCGAAGCCAGAACCGGTATTCTTTCCCCTATTCGATGCTGTTCTTTTTTATTGTGGTTATTTTCTGCTTAAGTGTCATAAACTTGGAGTTCCATGGAAAATTATCTAAGTTGTATAACTCCAACAGTACTTAGTACATTTCTCTATACTTGTAAGTGTTTAATAAATGCATATTGAATTTAGTTGGATTCCTGGCCCAGCCAGATACTCTGTCTGAGTATAATGATTTCCTCGACATTTCTTGTCTACCACCTAGGTTTTCTGTCCAAGGTCCTGACCATTTTCCCCATCTACCTTTTCCTAACTTCTTGCTCCAATAAATATCCTGGTGCTGACTGTCTTCTTGGCCCTTGAATGCTTTCCTTTGCTGTGGGCTGTCTAGCTCTGAACTACTCGCCTGGCCCCACTCCTGTTGCTCTACCTTGAAGGCTGGCTTGTAAAGATTCCCTGCCTCTTTCCAAGAATTCCATATCTCCAGCCTACTTCAAATGACTTTCAGTGTTCTCTTGCACTCAAGCTTGACTTTGGCTTTCTTGGTCCCAGTTATGTGCTGCCCCAATAATTTATGTTACTCAGGGGCCTTTCTTAATTCCCATCTTCTCCTGTCCTTCTTCCCCTCTTGTCTTCCTCCTGTCTTCCCTCCCATCCCACTGATCCTCTCCTGTTTCTTTCTTTTCACCCCTTTATGCATTTCCTTTCACATATTCCTTGATTCAGGTTTCTTTATTCAGGCTGACTTTTGCTGCAATTACTTTAATGAGAGATAACTATCTTCAGAGCTCTCTGACTACCTCAAATTTCTATAGATATTAGCTGAAA